CTCCTGGTTTTGCAATGGATTAATTTTGCCTTATTAAGCACTGAAATGAAAATGAACCAGGATTCATTTCCCACCCACCCAATGGTTACAATCAATACCGCACACAAACATCACTGTAATTTTGAAAAATCTTGAGGGCATTGTGGTCATCGTGTGAGAACCTGTTCATTTGCTAGAAACGGTACTACCACCTCTCTGTTCCACATCGGTTGATTCTGCTTCATCGGAATTCATTTTGGTATAGTAGCTGCTACTACCATAAACAATGGCACAGAAAAGCAAGATTCTGGTGATCCAAGTAAGTTCATCACAAGTAAACAACCCTTCATTAATTCTTCCACCTGTTTTCGATCTTCTTAATGATTTTGTTCAATGTTTAGGAGTGTGGTTCATGCTGAAGAGAAATTAAAAACAGTGATAGAAGAGAGAATACTGAATTATATTCAGATTTGCATATTTGTTCTATACAATGACATATGTATATATAATATTTACATGACATGTTTCCATGCCTAGAATTATGCAGAAGATTGTTGTTTTGACTGTTGCTCAATTTTTGCATTATGACCGTTGAGGAATTATGACAAATAATTCCCTTCCTCTTTTGCTGCTATTTCCTTGTTCAATTCAGATCTTGATTGCTCACATTTGCTGTCATTTGTTTCCTTATTTGGCTCTTGCTTCTTAATACACCCCCTTAAACTGGAGGTGGGTGATTCAACAAACCCTAATTTGAACTTCAACACTTGGAACTGTGCACGTGGAAGTGGTTTTGTAAGTAGATCAACAACTTGGTCCTTACTAGGAATGCATCGAGTGACCAAAGTACCAAGGGCTACTTTTTCCCGAACGAAGTGGTAGTCCAGCTCTATGTGTTTCGTGTGGGCATGAAATACAGGATTGATAGACATATGTAAGGCACTAATGTTATTAGAAAAAATTTGAGGAGGATTAGGAAGAGACATTCCAATGTGACGAAGGAGATAAGTGATCCATGTGACCTCAGCTGTGGTAGAAGCCAAAGCTCGGTATTCTGCTTCAGTTGTAGACCGAGTGACAGTAGGTTGTTTCTTTGAAGACTATGAAATACAATTTGCCCCAAGAAATACACAATAACTTGTGGTGCTTTTTCTAATGCTTAAACAGCCAGCCCAATCTGCATCACAAAAACCTGTTAATGATAATGTGCTGTGAGAAGAGAACCGTAGGCCATGATGCATAGTTCCCTTGATGTACCGTAAAATGCATTTAACTTGACGAAGATGAGTGAGAGTCAGTTGTTGCATGAATTGACAAACTTTATTCATAGCATGACAAATATCAAGTCTGGTTATTATTAAGTGTTGAAGTGCCCCAACAAGTTTTCTATATTCCTGGGTGTTCACGAGCTCATTATCCCTCAAACTGGTTGTATCTTTAATAGCCATAAGGGTAGCACTAGCAGAGGCTTCAAGCATGGAGGCTCAACAGAGGATGTCTTTGGCATATTTGGCTTGTGACAAGAAAATGCCTCCTGGAAACTTATTTACTTCAATGTCCAGAAAATAATTAAGGGATCCCAAATCCTTGAGTGCAAACTTGCCGCTCAAATTGCTAATAACTTCTTGAAGTAGTTGCAATGAACTGGCTGTGAGAACAATGTCATCTACATTTAGCAAGAGCAGTACAGTGTCTTGACCTCTATGAAGAATAAACATAGAAGATTATGCTCTACTACAATAGAACCCAATTTGGAAGAGTTGAATAGTAAATGTATCAAACCATGCCCTTGGAGCCTGCTTTAGACCATAGATCGATTTGTTGAGTTTGCAAACATGATTGGGATGAATAGGATCTTCAAAGCCAAGTGGTTGACTCATGTACACTTCCTCTTTGAGTTTGCCATGAAGGAACGCATTCTTTACATCCAGCTGTTTAAGTGGCCATGATAGAGTAGTAGCAAGAGCAATAACCAATCGCAAAGTTGTTGGTTTTAGAACTGGACTAAAGGTCTCATCGAAGTCCAACCCGGGCACTTGAGAGAATCCTCGTGCTACCAGCCTTGCTTTAAACCTTTCAATACTTCCATCAGGATGTAGTTTTGTCTTGAACACCCATTTCGAGCCCACAATGTTCAATTGAGGTGAAGGTGAAGGAACCAATGTCCATGTATTATTGTTGTGAAGTGCTTCTAGCTCTTCTTTCATTGCATTGACCCAATGTGGAAGTTTAAGTGCTTACTTGACAGTTTTAGGTTCTTGAGCATTCAAACTTGCACTATTTAACATAGAGTTATTAGTAGTCATATTATGAACAGATTTTTGAAACACAGTTTGAACATGTCTAGTATGCTTCCCTGATTTTGCCCTAGTCACCATGGGATGGAAGTAGCATTATGAGGTGGTGGTAAAACTCCCCCTTGATGTGAGCAAGATGTTTCTAATACTAGACATGGTTGTAAAGGATTGGCCCCTTTTTCACTAGCACTAGGTAGTGGCGAGCTTGCTACCTCATTTTCTTAAGCATTAATTGTGCTAGGTGGAGATTCGATTCTTCTTCTTAAATCAGTATTGCTATGGGCATGCCTTGTTCGGAGTCCATATCATTATGTTCTGCCCATGAATTGTCTTCATTTATTGTTATTACTCGTGTATCAGTAGATGCTGCATTAGTTTCTTCATATATGACACTAATGCGCTGTTTAGAGACAGGGGCAGAGGTAAGCTCATCCAATTTTCTTGAGGGTTGTAGGTTTGATGGGGCTTTTGTCCACTCATCACAATCTGGATATTTGCAAAGCTTTCCTCCTGTGCTAACATTACTTGAAAGACATGAAAGATTAAAGTATGGAAGAAAATTTTCATCAAAAACAACATGTCGTGATATATATACACGTTGAGTAGGAGGATGCAAACATTTATATCCCTTTTGAATTGGACTGTAACCAATGAAGACACAAGGCAGAGACCTTGGTTGAAGCTTGTTTGTAGCATAGTCTTTGAGGTAAGGAAAACATCGGCTTCCAAACACTTCGATCATAGAATAGTCGTGAACCTTACCATAAAGAATAAAATAAGGACTTTTGTTCTTTAAAATAGGTGTAGGCATTCTATTAATAAGAAAAACAACAGATGTAGGTCTTCCTTGTATTTAACCCACAAGTTTTTTATTTTTATATTCGATGTGGGATTTTCCCACTTAACACATCCCCTCACGTGTAAGTTCGCTATGAATGTCGTGTCTTGTCACATGGGTTAACACGCCCCCTTAAGTGCAGGCTTGGTATCTTCAACTTCGGGTCCTGTCAGGTGAGCTAACAATGGGGTTCCCAAGATAGAATCTAGGCTCTGATACCATGAAGAGAAATTAAAAACAATGATAGAAAAGAGAATACTGAATTATATTTAGATTTGCATATTTATTCTGTACAATGACATATGTATATATAATATTTACATGACATGTTTTCATGCCTAGAATTATGCAGAAGATTGTTGTTTTGACCGTTGCTCAATTTCTGCATTATGACCAGTGAGGAATTATGACAGATAATTCCCTTCCTCTTTGGCTGCTATTACCTTGTTCAATTTAGATCTTGATTGCTCACATTTGCTGTCATTTGTTTCCTTATTTGGCTCTTACTTCTTCATACATGCATTGTCATTTGGAGCTTCATACCAGCTGGGGTTTGAAGACAGCATTTGTGGTAGAGGATGGAAAAGGAGCAGATCAAACTGTTCTGCCTCCTCCAAAGGACCTTCCTCCTTGTTAAAAGTGGATATTTCTATTGACTTTTTCCTGCAAAATGCAGGAGATGGATGAGATTGAAGGGTGAAATTTTAGTTGAATGTGAATGTTTATAAAATTGGTATCCGATTATTTGAATTGTAAGTGCTCCAAATGAAAATGCTTTATGGAATAAGAAGATTTGGTCATGATTCGAGATATCCTTTTCTTTTTTATTTGGAAGAAAAAAGAAAAAAAGAAAACTTTTTTTGGTGAAAAAGAGAGAGATATTTTAACATAAAGCAGAAGTACATTAGTAGATTCTGGGAAATGAATACTTTTCAATAATAGAGAAAACATTTAAAAAATGTATCCGTACAAACAAATAATTGAGAGTTAGAAGGAAGCTAATTGGGTTAATGAATTCTATGATCTACCCTCCACAATTGTAGTACAGTACTCACCAACCCAAATATTTACTTTGATGACTAAAAGGTGAGCGATTCAGTCCCAGACCCAGACCTACCGGCAGGCCACCTGGAAACCAAGCTTATCCTCAAAAACGATTGTAGCTAAATTAATTCCTCCATTGTCTAGTTAAATGTAGGCTATCTAAATTAAGGACAGTTAATTTATAAAATAATTATTTTCTTATTTATTTGAATTTGAATTTGAATTATAATAAGATAAGGAATAAATAATTTATAGAAATGTCAAAAAATACTTTTTCTAACATTTTTTTTATATATGTCAACAAACTAAATAATTTAGTGATTGTTTTATTCTACTAGAAGTAAGAGATTTTAAGTTTGAATTGCAAGCATATAGTTGAAGTGGAATAAGGGATGAGAGATAGTTGCCTCTCATTGTGTAGCAAAAAAAAAAATTCTATACATTCTTCTTTAGATACTTTTTATTTAATTAGAATATATATGATATAAATTTATTATGATTTGTCATAATTTTAAAAATATTAATTTTAATATCAATCACTAATCAATACTCATATTAAACTTATATTTCACTTAATTAAATTATATAAAAAGTATATTCAATCACATAAAAGGTGTTAAAAAAAAAAGTATCAAAGAGAGTTTCTACCACTCCTCGTCCCTTCAATAATTGCAAGATTACTAACCTTCCACTCTATTTCTACTGGCTCCCGGCGCATGGCACATGTACACCTAACTCATTAGTCACCCAATCCTATCCTGAACAAATCTATTTTTTTCACTAATACTGACTTCCCTTTGAATTTTGATCATTTCTTTAAAAAAAAAAAATACTACCCTCCACCATTTTTAAAGTGATCACTCTGCATCCCCACTTCCCAGGAATTCTCTTCCCCTGTCTTGATAGTCGCTGCTACGTTACGCAATGTCGGCAAAAAGCAAGATTCTGGTGATCGGCGGCACTGGTAACATCGGGAAATTCATAGTGGAGGCTGCTGCTAAAGCCGGTCACCCTACCACTCTTCTTATCAGAGAGGCCACTCTCTCTAACCACGCAAAATCCAACATAATCCATAACTTCAAAAACTTGGGAGTCAATTTTTTGGTTGTGCGTAATCAATATCATCCATCCTTCGTTCTTTTCCATTTTCGCTGCCATTTTTCATTTTTTTTTTTTTTTTGGGGGGGTTATGCAGGGAGATCTTTATGATCATGAGAGCTTGGTGAAGGGCATAAAGCGGGTGGATGTGGTGATATCCACAGTAGGTCATGATCAATTAGCTGATCAGGACAAGATCATTGCTGCAATTAAAGAAGCAGGAAATGTTAAGGTGCTGCTCTTTCAATCTTTGATTCTGCAGTACTTTTTTTGGGTTTTATATGTGCAGGTTAAGAATGTAATAAATATATTTTATTGTTATAAATTTATATTAAAAAATAAAAATTAACTTGTAATCTATCAATTATTCAATTAAATTTATTTAATACTAAAATTAATATCAATTTTTATATTTTTTTATACACATTTATCATAAAAAATTACTCTTAGGCACAGATTAAAAATTTTCTTTTTTTATTCTAAATTAATAATATATTTGTAGTAAACTGTTTTATAAGATCGATTGTCTATGATTTATCTTGTAAAATTATTTAAATATTGTGATGAAATAATATAAAAATAAAATTAAAGGTATTTAAGTAATTTTACAAGACAAAATTGTAAATTTGTAAAAAAAGTCTTAAACCAAATTCACAATAAAGACAAATGTTAAATAGATGAAACATCATTACTAATTTATTTATTTTGCCTTAAACAAAAAGCATCTTTATCAAAGTAAACATTTAGTTCTCGGAAGTCATGCTCATTATTACTATTTCAAATCCATCACCAATTGTTAAATCACTAAACTCTATAATCTTTATTTCTAATATTTCAATTTTTTTAATTTATTCATAATTAAAAGTTGAATGTAATAATTAGTAACTTTACAAAAATTAAATAAAATTTTAATTTAAATCTTTTAACATCAAACAATTTCTATAAAAAAGAAAAAGAAAAAGGAAAGAACAATATCATTAAATTACATTTCATTTAATATTTAAACACTTAAAATTTTGAATCTTATCTAATCATTATCATTATTATTTATGATTTTATTAAATAAAAAATTTTAAATCTTAAAAATAAAAGCTTAATTTAATTTAATAATATGATTCATAATTTGAGTTTAAAGGTATTTAGTATTTATTTTAATTTTGTTATCTTATTTTTAAAATTAACTAGTTTATAAATTTTATTTTATGAAAATATTTTTCTAACATGTTCTTTTATATTTAATGTAGCTTTTAATAATTAATTTTTATAAAAGAATAAAGATTAATTTTAATTTATTAAGAATTTGTTTAACATGTTTTCTAAAAGTATAAATTAAACTTCATTAAATGTAAAATTTTTAATTAATTTTACACAATTTTATATCAACTTCTTATATTTTTACAAATTTCGATTATAAATATTATATTATATTTCAATTTTTTATTTTTTTATTTTATTTTAATTAAATCTGATATAAGAATTTATATAAAATTAATTAAAAATACTATATTTAATAAAATTTTACTTATATTCTAAAAGCACATATTAAAATATTTTATTTATTAAATATACAATTAAAATCATTAACATAATATTGATTTAGAAAATAATTAATTATTAAAAATTACATAAATACACGCTTTATTTTATTTTACTTTATCTAAATAAATAAAATTTTGTGTAAAACTAATAGTGGTGGTTTTGGTGGTCCGATGGTGAAAACTTTAAAATGAGTGTTGAAGGAGTGGGGTTCGAATCCCCTTGAGTGCACAAACTTGTTGAAAGTTTTCTAATTTTGTGAACCTGATGGTTCATCGATTCAGAAGACACCGAGTTTGACCAAATTTTTTGAGTTTTGACTAAGTTTGACTAACTTTGACCGAGTCTTATTACAAATCGGATTTATGTCATAATTCGAATTGATTTTGTGATCGATTTCAATTCAACCGATCGAACCGACCGGTTTAGTCTAGGTTTTAAAATAATGGTATTAAGTCCACATAAACACCTTTACACGATGGCATATCCATGTAAGATTTTCCCATTATCTTAACGTGCCATGTAAGCAAAAATTAATGGAGGAACTAAAAAAAGGTCGAATTTTAAACTTTAAGAATCAAAAAGCAAATTTTTTCAGTACAAGGACAAAAATATGGGCTTTTTTCAATAGTAAAATGACCAAAAAAGGTACTTAATCTTTTTTTCTTTGAACTTGATTGGTTAGAAGGCAACCCTTTTTTTTTTTCCTTTGATCAAAAAGTGGTCACGAAAAGTAAGTGTGAATGTCTAGTAGTTCAAGATGCTTATAGTAACTTTCTTTTTACATTTGCCCATATAGCAATTGTTAAGGCAATCCCTAGTTGTAAATAGTCATTTTCATTGTGTAGATTTGTCATACACATAGTCGAAATTTGTAATTAGTGTTATAGGTTATACTTCCGTTTTAAGTTATAGTGCCATGCTACAGAGATTCTAACATAATCTCATATTCTATTCTCAATAATAATCTCTATTTTCCATAGAAAAACAAATCTTTAATTCTGCTGTTTTAATTTCATTGATTCCAATTCTCCCTAAATTAGTAGTACCTTTGGGCCCAGTATCTAAAATTGGTAAGAATTTCGAACTGTTTGAATCTTAAGTTCAAACTATGAGAAAGATGGAAAAGATATGGTTCATTATACAATGTAGATTGTAGAGAAAGTAGTATGTTTGGTAATTTTGCATATTTTTTTTATGGTGAGGTTCTAATATATTATTGTTCTTGTTCATGTCAATTCCAAATTCTGGAAGTTACAACTGTTACATGAATTTTCTAAATATACATGCAGAGGTTCTTCCCTTCAGAATTTGGAAATGATGTGGACCGCTCACATTTTGTTGAGCCAGCAAAATCAGCACTTGGGAGCAAAGTAAAAATTCGCAGAGCTGTTGAGGCTGCTGGTGTTCCATACACCATTGTGTCCTCCAACTTCTTTGCCGGTATTTTCCTCCAAACATTCGTACAATTTGGAGCTACAGCACCCCCCAGAGATAAAGTCGTCATTTTAGGGGATGGAAATCCTAGAGGTAAATAAATATTGTCTTCTTCAAGTTGAACTTCATTTTTTTTAACAGTACATCGGGAGTTAGCTGTTTGTCAATGTAGGGGTTGAATTTCTTCATTAGTGTGTTAATTCTGTCCTTAATGGCTTCATGTTGTGATCCACAGCTGTTTTCAACAAGGAAGAAGATATTGCCACATACACTATCAAAGCTGTGGATGATCCAAGAACCTTGAACAAAATCCTTTATATCAGACCTCCCCTTAACACGTATTCATTCAACGATCTCGTGCCTTTGTGGGAAAGGAAGATAGGCAAAACCCTTGAGAGGATCTATGTTTCAGAGGATCAGCTGTTAAAGAATATCCAAGGTTGGTATAAAACCCAATTTATCTGTTCTGCAGAACTTTTTGGCATTGGATTTGAGATAGTGGTAGTTGACTAGTTGGAATTGGCCTGTTTCACTCTCATGGCAGAATCCACCGCCCCTCTCAATGTATATCTCTCAATTAGACACTCCGTGTTCGTGAAAGGAGACCAGACCAACTTTGAGATTGAACCATCATTTGGAGTTGAGGCTTCAGAGCTCTACCCTGATGTTAAATACACTACTGTGGATGAGTACCTAGATCAGTTTGTATGATTCTCGTGCATTAGTTAAGCTTTGTAACCTAAAAAAATTTGGTGGTATTGGTTCACGTTTCCAGTGTGCGCTACAGTCTGATTCTCTTTTGCTTTTGTGACTTCTGTAGATTCTGTAAGATGACATCTAGCTACAATGTCCATTAACAAAAGCCTGAACAGAAAATTTTAGTTTGTCTGATTCTCTTGGTTTGTTACAATTGCTCCGAACTAACACCCAACAGAAGCTTGTTTTTTCTTTTACCTATAGCATAATGATTTGAATCAAATCCTAAACCATAGGATTAACATTAAAAAAGAAGAAGAAGAAGTAGTAGAAGAAGAAGAGAGAGCACTACCGAGCCAAAAAGGTCATATTTTGTAGACTTGTAACTGTTTTAGTCATGCATGCCCATCTTTCCTTTGTTTCCCTTCTTCCCAGAAGACCTAGCAGAATCTCTACCTTTCTGAGCCTTTACCTTCTTTCCCTTCTTTGAACTGCCTTTGTCCGGCTTACCCATTCCCCTTATCCTCGCATCCTTTTTCATCCTTCGATCAACAAGGACCTTACCCTTGCCAGCCTTGACTCGAACTCCTTTCTTTACCACTACAAATTCCTTCTTTGGTCTCTTGGGCGTAGCCTTCTCATATAGCTCCTCAATTAGCTTCCTCTTTGAACGATCTGAGATGTCTGCTTGATCTGATATACTGTTTGCTTTCTTCCGAACCTTCTCAAGCTTCCTCGTGGTTGCCCGCTTCTTTTGCGCTTTTGCATCTGCTACCTTCTTAGCAGGCCGGACATTAATTTCTTTGAATTTTTCTGGCATAGCAGCAATATCTTCTTTAGTGACAGGCTTAATTGGTTGACGGTGTCTCCTCTCTTCCTCCAAAAACCATATGGGCAAGCCCTCATCATCAAACATGTACTTGTTGTAGGCATCGTCCAGTATTTGTTCCCTTTGCTTCTTTCTCAGCATCTTCTTAGCACAAGCCAGAATCTCAGCTTTGGTATCGCTATCCTCATCCTTGGAATCATCTGAAGATGAATCACTCGTATCAGTAGCTGGAGCTGGGACAATCTCAAAGTCATCTTATGTCTTAGAGGCCTGGGCCTGCGTCTGATTAGGGCCTCCAGCATTATTCATTGCTTTTTCCTTCACCTTCTCCGGTATAGAAGACCGTTCTTCCTGCCTCTTCTTTACTTTAGCTTTCTCTCGAATGGAAGGTCTTTCCTCTAGGTTATTTACCTACATTTCATCCTCACTATCATACTTCCCCAAATCTCCCTCCCCTACACGCAGGTCATCACAAAGAGCTTTAACCTGGCAAAATAATGGCAGCCTAAGTGGTCCAAACTTGAAAGGACAGAAAACAAGGTCTAATGAGAGAACTTAAGCAACAAGTACCTCTTCTGTTGTTAAACTGTGATCCTTAGTGTGCAAAGAAGCTGCATCGTCAAATGTTATGGAAGTAACTGAACCCAGGATCTCAAGAGGAGAGTCTGACCAAATGAAATCAGCAGCTGAAGATACTTTCCGCAAGATTGTAGCTCGATCTTCATACCTGTGATTAGAAACGAGTTAGTGAGAAAGATAGTACAGATCATGCTCATAATACTGCATAGGAACATACACAAAGAAAACAAGTAACAATGCAGATATGCACACTGCCAATACACAGTGAGTGATATTTTGCCACTTGCATAAACACCCTGCTCAATCATTGTGATCACAATTCACAATTAATATTTGTCCTTTCACTCTTGTGTTGAGCAGAACATTTTGTACTCTATTGAGTACTGCAGGCTTGTAGTTATCACTAAAATCCGAAGAAATCAAGCAGACACTGATTTTGACTATATAATGGAAACTTTTCTTATCTACTTCCATGATTTATAACAGAAATGATGGCTCACCCATCACGGTGTCTCTTTTGTTTTGTTCCACGAAGTACATCAATCAGCTGTCAAGAATGAGAGAAGCAATGTCATTATGGCAATAATTTTGGTTTTTTGAGGCAGAGGGGGGATCTCAAAGGGATAAGTAGCATAAGTTATTTTTAAGTGACAATGATTTAAAAGAAAAAATAACCTTGATGAGTGCCTTGAGCAGTTTGTGTGATGCTGTGCATTGATCAAGCCTTGTCATCTTAACAAATTGAGTGATATTGGCTAAGGTTTCTGGTGTGTGCTACAGTACAGTCAGGTTTCTTTTGCTCGTATGATTTCTGTATATTCTGTAAGATGGCACTCAGCTACGACAGTGTCCAATAATAAAAGCCTGAACTGCATTTGGTTAATTTTTTGGTTGCCAAGTAATGTTGCCACAAAGTTCTGCTTAATCTACATGTTTATGATAAAGTATATTGTTGATACCTAATGTCCATACTGTTACTTTGACCTTAATCTACATGTTTATGTTGAGTTCTCTCAACAATAATTAAGAGTAAAATTAAAAAATGTAACAAGAAAGTAAAATGCTCTTTAAATTATATAATTTAAATCATTAAATATCAACAACTTAAATAATTTAGTGAGTGCTTTTTTTCGCTTGAAATAAGAAATTTTAAATTCGAATCGCATGACATGCGAGTAAAGTGAAATAAGAGATAAAAGATTATTACTTCCTGTAATCGATATAAAAAAAAAAAATTTTAATCATTAAATGTGAAACTAACTTTTTGATATTAAAGTCTATTTCTTGTTCAATAGTTTTTCTTTCCTAATCAAGTTATACTCATTAAAAAATTATAAATTAATCAAAATATTAGCATTATTAATCCATTTGCTTGGTGAAAAATGAGACTGATATTCTCCTTCTAGTTTTGCGATGGAATGGATTAATTTTGTCTTATTAAGCACTGGCATGAAAATGAACCAGTATTCCTTTCCCACCCAATGATTACAATCAACACCGCATGCAAACGTCACTGTAATTCTGAAAAATCTTGAGGGCATTGTGGTCATCGTGCGAGAACCTGTCCATTTGCTAAAAATGGTACTACCACCACTCTGTTCCACCTCGGTTGACTCTGCTTCTCGGGATTCTTTTGGTGGTAGCTGCTACTACTAACAATGGCGGAGAAAAGCAAGATTCTCGTGATCGGCGGCACTGGCTACTTCGGAAAATTCATAGTGGAGGCCGCCGCCAAAGCCGGTCACCCTACCTTCCTCCTTGTCAGAGAGGCCACTCTGTCTAACCCCGCAAAATCCAACATAATCCAAAACTTCAAAAACATGGGAGTCAATTTTTTGATTGTGCGTAATCAATATCATAGATTCTGCGTAATCATATTATCATAGATTCTTCATTCTTTTTCTTCCTTTTTCCTTTTTTTTTTTTGTGCCGACATTTTCATTATTGAATTAAAGTTGAATTGAATTTGTTTGCCTAAACAGAGGAAGAGATTGAGTTGGTTTGGCTGAAGAGAAAGTTCTCTTCTTTTTTTTTTTGTGTATGTGTGTGTGTGGGGGGGGTGGGGGGTATCCAGGGAGATCTTTATGATCATGAGAGCTTGGTGAAGGCTATAAAGCAGGTGGATGTGGTGATATCAGCAGTAAGTCGTCATCAGTTAGCAGATCAGGACAACATTATTGCTGCAATTAAAGAAGCCGGAAATGTTAAGGTACTGCTCTTTCAATCTCTAATTCTGCATCTTTATTAGCTTTTCTTTTTCCAAGACTCTTGTCCCGTTAGGCAAAACAAACACTTCCCTAGGAGTCCTCTCTTCTCTTGTGAGAAGCTTCCCCCATTTTTTTTTTTCTTTGAACTTGTTTGGTTAGAAGGCAACTTTACTGAAAAAGTGGTTAGGAATAGTAAGTGTGAATGTTTAGTAGCTTAGGATGCTCTTAATGACTTTCTTTCTACATTTGTATCCTGCTATGTCCATATATCAATTGTTAAGGCAATCCCTAGTTGCAAATAGTCATTTTAATTGTCTATATTTGTCATACACATAGTTTAAATTTGTAATTAGTGTTATAAGTTATGCTTCCCTTTTAGGCTATACTGCCATGCTAAAAAGATTCTGATGTAATCTCATAATCTATTCTCAATAATATCTCTATTTTCCATAGAAAAACAAATCTTTAATTCTGCTGTTTTAATTTCATTGATTCCAATTCTCCCTAATTTAGTAGTATCTTGGGCCCAGTATCTCAAACTGGTAAGAATTTGGAACTGTTTGAATCTTAAGTTCAAAATATGAGAAAGATGGAAAAGATATAGTTCATTATACAATGTAGATTGTAGAGAAAGTAGTATGTTTGGTAATTTTGCATATTTTTTTATGGTGAGGTTCTAATATTTTATTGTTCTTGTTCATGTTAATTCCAAATTCTAGAAGTTACAACTGTTATATGAATTTTCTACATATATATGCAGAGGTTCTTCCCTTCAGAATTTGGAAATGATGTGGACCGCACACATTTTGTTGAGCCAGCAAAATCAGCACTTGGGAGAAAAGTAAAAATCCGCAGAGCTGTTGAGGCTGCTGGTGTTCCATACACTTTTGTGTCCTCCAACTCATTTGCCGGCTATTTCCTCCAAACATTCTCACAAATTGGAGCTACAGAACCCCCTAGAGATAAAGTCGTCATTTTTGGGGATGGAACTCCTAGAGGTAAATAAATATTGTCTTCTTCAAGTTGAACTTCATTTTTTTTAACAGTACACCTGAAGTTAGCTGTTTGTCAATGTAGGGGTTGAATTTCTTCATTAGTGTGTTAATTCTCTCCTTAACGGCATCCTGTTGTGATCCACAGCTGTTTTCAACAAGGAAGAAGATATTGCCACATACACTATCAAAGCTGTGGATGATCCAAGAACCTTGAACAAAATCCTTTATATCAGACCTCCGCTTAACACGTATTCATTCAATGATCTCGTGCCTTTGTGGGAAAGGAAGATAGGCAAAACCCTTGAGAGGATCTATGTTTCAGAGGAACAACTGCTGAAGAATATCCAAGGTTGGTTTAAAACTCAATTTCTCTGTTCTGCAGAACTTTTTGGTATTGGATTTGAGATAGTGGTAATTGACTAGTTGGAATTGGCCTGTTTCACTCTCATGGCAGAATCTGCCGCCCCTCTCAATGCGATGCTCTCAATGAGACACTCCGTGTTCGTGAAAGGAGACCAGACCAATTTTGAGATTGAACCATCATTTGGAGTTGAGGCTTCAGAGCTCTACCCTGATGTTAAATACACTACTGTGGATGAGTACCTAGATCAGTTTGTATGATTCTTGTGCATTAGTTAAGCTTTGTAATCTTAAAAAATTAGGTGGTGTTGGTTCATGTTTCTAGTGTGCGCTACAGTTGATTCTCATTTGCTTGTGTGACTTCTGTAGATTCTGTAAGATTACATCCAGCTACAATGTCCATTAACAAAGAGCCTGAACAGAAAATTTAAGTTTGTCTGATTCTCTTGGTTTGTTACAATTGCTTCGAACACACACCCAACAGAAAGCTTGTTTTTTCTTTAACCTTTAGCATAATGATTTGAATCGAGTCACAAACAATAGGACTAACATTAAATACGCCGATTTAATACATGGCTTATACGTATTTTTATTTAACAATCAAAATATGTTACTCGATTGTTCACGGAGTTCACAGAATTAGTACTTAAAAAAAAATACAATTAAATTAATTCTCTCTTGATTTAATAAAAAGTAAATCATTTGTATTAAAATTAGTGAATTCATAAAAAAATTATTACTCTTTTCTATTGATTTGAATTTTAATTAATAAAATAAAAAGTATATCCTTTAAATATATGCAAAATTATCTAATCTTTCATTTTAATTCAGGCAATAATTCAGGCAATATTATAGTTACAATATATAAATAATTATAAATTTATAATTATGTTATAATATTAAATAAATATAATAACCCTTCATTAATTCTTCCACCTGTTTTCGATCTTCTCAATGATTTTGTTCAATGTTTAGGAGTGTGGTTCATGCATTGTCATTTGGGGCTTCATACCAGCTCGGGTTTGAAGACAGCATTTGTGGTAGAGGATGGAAAAGGAGCTGATCAAACTGTTCTGCCTCCTCCAAAGGACCTTTCTCTTTGTTAAAAGTGGATATTTCTATTGACTTTTTCCTGCAAAATGCAGAAGATGGATGAGATTGAAGGGTGAAATTTTAGTTGAATGAGAATGTTTATAAAATTGTTATCAGATTCTTTGAATTGTAAGTACTCCAAATAAAAATGCTTCATGGAATAAGAAGATTTGGTCATGATTCATGATATCCTTTTCTTTTTTATTTAGAAAAGAAAAAAAGAGGAAAAAGAATACTATTTTTTTGGGTAAAATAAGGGGAGATATTATAAATTTATAACATAAATTTAGTACATTAGTAGGTTTTGGGGAAGCGAATACTTTTCAATAACAAAGAAAACATTTACAAAAATATATCTGTACAAACAAATATTTGAGAGTTAGAAAGAACCTAATTTGATTAATAAATTCTATGATCCACCATCCACAATTGTAATACAGTACTCACCAACCTAAATATTGACTTTGAAATTTGAATGACTAAAAGGTGAGCGATTCAGTGCCAGTCTGCCAGACCCAGACCCACCGTCAGGCCACCTAGAAACTAAGCTTATCCTAAGAAACAATTGCAGCTAAATTAATCCCTCCATTGTCTAGTTAAATGTAGACTATCCAGATTAAGGACAGCTAATTTATAAAAAAATATTCTCTTATTGATTTGAATTTGAATTTAAATTATAATAAGATAAGGGGTAAATAATTTACAAAAATGTTAAAAAGCACTTTCTCAAACATTTTTTTATACACTTTTTTTAGATACTTTTTATTTAATTAGAATATATATGATGCAAATTTATTATGATAAGTTATAATTTTAAAAATATTAATTTTAATATTAATCACTAATCACCACTCATATTAAACTTATATTTCATTTAATTGAATTATATAAAAAAATATATTCAATCACGTAAAAAGTGTTAAAAAAAAAGTATCAAAGAGAGTTTCTATCACTCTTCATTCCTTAAATATTTGCAAGATTACTAACCTTCCACTCTATTTCCACTGGCTCCCCATGTCACATGCACACCTAACTCATTAGTCACCCAAATCCTATCTTGAACAAATCTATTTATTTCACTAATACTGATTTCCCTTTGAATTTTGAACATTTCTTTAAAAGAAATACTACCTCCCACCTTTTTTTAAGCGGTCACTCTGCCTCCCCATTCCCCAGGAATTCTCTTCCCCTGTCTTGATAGTCGCTGCTACGTTACGCAATGTCGGGAAAAAGCAAGATTCTGGTGATCGGCGGCACTGGCTACATCGGGAAATTCATAGTGGAGGCTGCTGCTAAAGCCGGTCACCCTACCACTGTTCTTGTCAGAGAGGCCACTCTCTCCAACCTCGCAAAATCCAACATAATCCAAAACTTCAAAAACTTGGGAGTCAATTTTTTGATTGTGCGTAATCAATATCATAGATTCTTTCATTCTTTTCTTTTTTTGGCTGCCATCTTTCATTTGTTTTTTATTATTATTATTATTATTATTATTATTAT